CCCCTGGGGAATGGCCAGACCTCTGGGAAACCACACCACCCTCTGGGCTTGGGCCTGCCTCCCAACCTGCTCACACCCATCTCATATTCCAGGGAGTCCGAGGCATGGATGGGCCCCATGGTCCCAAAGGGAGCTTGGTGAGTGTTGGGCATGGAGACTCCACCCGACCCTTAGACCCCGAGTTCCTCCCCAAGGTGCTGTTCCCTTTGCCAGCACTCTGAGCCCCCGCCCCACTCTGGTGCTCACCCTCTGGATATTACTGCTGGGACTCAGCTCTTCACAATATGTTGTTTGTCACCTTCTCCTCTACCCCTGCCTGGTTGCCTGTTTCTAGGGACCCCAAGGAGAGCCAGGACCTCCAGGACAACAGGGCACTCCTGGGACCCAGGTGAGTGGTCCTGTCCACCCCCCTCCAACTTTAGTGACTTCCCTTGGGCTTCCACAATGGGTCAGACCTGGATGGGGACAGGAAATTAAGGATGTCCAGTCTTCATTGCTCATGGTCTGAATGGGGGATGCTGGCTGGAGCAGAGAGCGCCCACCCCTGCGGGGCCCCTGTGACTTCTCTCTCCCTGTGTATAGGGTCTCCCTGGGCCTCAGGGTGCCATCGGCCCTCATGGAGAGAAGGTGAGAGATTGGGGAACAAGGGATGTGCTGGGGTGGGTGTCGGGAGAGCCCTAAATGTCTGGCTGGGACTTTAGCCTTGTTCAGTCCCAACCCGTCTTGGTAACCCTGAACCTCATCTTCCTGCAGGGTCCTCGAGGGAAACCAGGGCTCCCTGGCATGCCTGGCTCAGATGGACTCCCGGTGAGTGGCCCCCACTTCTTATTTCAAATATCCCTTGACCCTCCACCCAAGTCCTTTGCACTGGGAGGTCACTGATGGTGCCTGCCCATGCTCAGTTGGCTTCATCAAGTCACAAGAATTTGGATTGGAGAAGTGTAGAGAAGGATCAGGGGAGGTGACAGGGGCCAGTGGTCATGTTCTTCTGTCCCCACAGGGCCACCCCGGAAAGGAAGGTCCCCCTGGAACTAAAGGAAACCAGGTGAGATCTTCGCGCCTCCTTTTACCTCCTGAAGGGGCTCCCACCCAGACTCGAGCCTCAGAGTCCTTGGGATTTCCTTGTCTCATCGTTAACGTGGCTCTGGCAGTTTTCTCCGATGTCACTTGCATTTTCCCCAGCCCCTGAGGCCCCCACAGTGACCCCCTGTGACCCCTTATAGATTCCTCTCTTTGTCCTTCCAGGGTCCATCTGGACCTCAGGGGCCTCTAGGATACCCGGGGCCGCGAGGTGTCAAGGTACAGACCAGCGGGCTGGGAGACAGAGGACTGCATTTGGGGGAACCAGTCGGGGTCTTAGGAAGCTCCGTCCCTGACCTCTGTCTCTGTCCCCGCCTATTCCTAGGGTGTGGATGGAATCCGGGGCCTGAAGGGTCATAAGGGCGAAAAGGTGAGCAGCGTGCTCNTGAAGGGTCATAAGGGTGAAAAGGTGAGCAGCGTGCTCCCAGCTTCCCAGCGCCTCCATCCGCCCCACCACCCCTCGGCCCGGCTCTCCCTCCGTCCTGCCCTCCTGCTGTCCTTGCACCCATGTGCTCCCAAATCTTCCACTTTAGCCTGCTGGCCCTCTACATCTGGGGTCCTCTCACTCCCAATTTTTTCAGGGCGACGATGGCTTTCCCGGGTTCAAAGGTGACATGGGTGTGAAAGGTGACAGGGTGAGTAGAAACCCCTGCACTGGCCCCCTCAGTTCTAAGACCTAATGATCCTGGAGTCCCAGCTGATTCCTTTGATACCCGGAGGCCCCATCTCCAGTGCTCTGCACCCTTTAGGGCCTGATCCCAGCCAGATAACAACCGCAGTCTGTGTCCCTCCAACCACAACAGTCTCCCTGCCCCTGTGGGGCTCCCTGTCCTGCTAGAGCTTCTGGGACCCCTGCCAACCCCACCTGTCCTCACTGGGGCCTGCCTGTCCCCTTGGGGCCCCGCCTCGCCCTCAGTCCCTGACACTTACCTCTCCAATCCTCTCACTCAGGGCGAGGTTGGAGTTCCCGGTTCCAGAGGAGAGGATGGTCCCGAGGGGCCGAAGGGACGCACTGGACCCACTGGAGATCCTGGCCCCACTGGGCTCCTGGGCGAGAAGGTGACAGGGATGAGGGATCTGCATCTGTGCTCTCTAGGGATTTGGAGGGGATGAGGGCCTGGGCACTGGGATCAGGGTAGGCAAGGGGTTGCCAACAGCTGGAGTCGGTGAGTCCATCGAAGATGACCACGTATTAATTATGGTCTTCTCTGTACATGGCACCTCCTGGACACTAATGGGTTGTGGGGCGATGGGTGAGACGTCAAGGAAGAGTCCCTGTCATGAAGAGTTTACAGCAGATTGACAGGAACAAGGCAGAGAGACCACCGTAGGGTAACTGTCGGTGCAGGGCACAGTGCAAACGTGTCCGGACTCAGAGCCTAGGAGTTCCAAGCAGAGAGGCAAGAGCTGGTGGGCTCCGAGATCTTCCAGGCGGACTCATGCGGCACTGCTGTGGGCCAGCTCTGTGTGGACTGTCATATCCATCCTGGGAAGAGGCACCCGCACGGTCCTGCTTTGCAGAGGCATGGGGGGGGGGCTAAGGTGCTCGTTAGTCACACAGCCAGTGAGGAGCAGAGCCAGGGTTTGGGCCCAGGCAGCCAGGCCGCAGAATCCCGCTCCCAGGCTCCGCTCCACGGCTGCCTCAGATGACAGGCCCTGCAGCGTCGGGAGGCAGGCGTGCACACCTGCCCTGGGGAGCTGGGTGGTGCAGAGCAGGGGCAGAGGCGGTCCCCTGCTGCGTGGAGCCTGCTAGGGGCAGGCTGGAGAAGGTGGGGCCTAGGTTCACCAGTAGGCAGGGACTAGATCACAGCCCCTAAGGACCTGATGGGGCAGCAGACTTGAGTCTCCAGACACTGGGGAGGCGAGATGCCAGCACTGGACCTGGGGAAAACCCACTCTCAGGGAGCAGAGCTTACAAAAGCCAGGCAGCCCATGAGGCAGGGGAGGAAGGGCTGGAGGGCTGGAGGGCTGGCGGGCCATTGCTGCGTGGGGTCTGGCTCCCGCCTCTGAGGGATGGAGTGGTACCGGTGGCTTGTCTTGTCCCTAATTGCTCCCTGTCCCTCCACAGGGCAAGCTGGGTGTTCCTGGCCTGCCAGGCTACCCGGGACGCCAGGGTCCCAAGGTGAGGTGATGCCCCATGTATACTCACTCTTCCTTTTCCCTCCCATGACACCCAACTGCAGGAAACACTGACAGAGCACTGGGGGTCCTAGAGAGAAATAAGCCTACCCCGGTCCACAGAGGAGGGAACAAGGCCCCGAGAGCAGCAGGGGTTGGATGGGAGGGCCCAGGTCTCCCACACCACGCCCCTGTCACCTTTCCTGACCCTTCTTGGCCCTTCCTAGGCCCTCCCCTTTCCTGACTTCTCCATTTTTTCTTCTCCACCTTCACCAGGGCTCCCTCGGATTTCCTGGTTTTCCTGGAGCCAGTGGAGAGAAGGGAGCCCGGGTAGGCTGGGGAAGAGCAGTGCGGGGTGGG